TAAATTGCAAGAACAGGATGCACCCAGCATGTTTAAAAGTATCCTTTGCTTTCACTGTTAAGATCTGTAAAACTGTGCACTATCAGCTTCAATCTCCAGCTCTCCACTGATAAATCATACACTTTTCTTTTAAGGAGATGGTTCTGCTTAAGAGGCCTGAGATGCTCTGCTGACTTTTATATGCCAGGCAAACTCCATGATAGCTGGGACATTCTGTGAATAGTACATCATACGTAGAAAGGGAACTTTCAGAGAAACCAAAAAAATGTATTTTGTATCTTTATATTCCACATATATCATGACTCCAATTAACCACTGTTTTGATGATTTCAGCGCATCAAGAAGTCAAATTACCTATATAAAGGTAGGCGACACATGTAACTTTATCAAATTACAATTTCAATCCTCAACTGGCTTTTTTTTTCTGTATTGAATTGTTTCATGATAGTTTTAATAAGTAAGATTTTTTTTAAGCAAAAACTACACTAATGAAAAACAAATCACTTTTGCTAACAAAGCATTGCCAATGTCAAACTACTTGAACGTTTAACTTAGATTCTAGATGTTTGTCCATGGAGTGGACCACATTTTAATTAAAGGAACTTCATGAATGCATCCTTTCCTGTTTGCAATGACATTGACTGTCTTTTCCCTCATTCATGAGTGCATGACATCCCTGTGCTAACTAGGGGAATTATTTACATGGGAAAATATTAGGAAAGTATTTTATGAATTTGTTTGATGCATACTAGCAGCTGGAAACATGGAGGAAATTGTTGTCTTTTGGCAAGCCAGCCTTCTGTGAATCATCACTCAGTGCTCCAAGCACTCTGGGGATCCATAGGACTAGTTTTTGAGAATCTATTCTTTATCGTTTACTAAAATTTTGATCAGAGACATCCAGATGTAATTCCTGGAAATTAAAAGAAATGTAACACAAAGAGTGTGTAAAGTAATGCAATGTTAATGGGAGCACATTTTCAAAAGGTTTAAAGATTTCCTTGTTGCGCATGTTTAACATTATGAAGCATTGCAGGCTAAAAATCTTTACATGTAATTTATGTGTATTTATTTACATGTAAGTTTTCATCAAGGCTTCCAGAAAGCATTGCAAAAATTCAATTAACACAGCCTTCATGGGAAAGAAGAAATATCATTCAGGTTTTCAGGTGAGAAAAACTAAAATACAAAGAGAAGTTATTTAAACAAGGTTTCACAGCAAATCAGAGTAAGAAAAGAATTAGTTTTCCTTATGGATTTCCCTGTTTTAATAAAAAGCTGCACAATAATGAGAGGAAAAAAATCTGTGGTGGCATCAATAGGTGTTTCTGATATCTGTGGTCCTACGGTTTTAACTAGATCAAATATAAAGCATTTAAATCTAAAATGAAGGATCTAGTGGGCTCATTAGAAACATCTAGTCAGTAGTCTGCTATCAAACAAAATTTAACTTATTTTGTGATATATAAATCAAACTGAGAAAAATAATGCAAGCACATATCTATGTCTTATCAAGTTACTTTGTGTGGAAGAACTCAGATACATATTCCACAGATGAAAGGCCAACATAATTCATATAAGAAGCCTCTGAGGGAGCTGGGGTTGTTTATCCTGGAGAAAAGGAGAATCAGAGGAGACCTTATCACTCTCTACAACTGACTGAAAGGAGGCTGTAGCCAGGCTGTAGCCAGGTGGACCCAGGCAAGTGACAGGAAAGAAGAAATGGTCTCAAGCTGCTCCAAGGAAGGTTCAAGCTAGACATTAGAGGAATTTCTTCACTGAGGGGGCATTGCAACATGTTATCCAGGGAGGGGATGGAGTCACCATCCCTGGAAGTGTTCAAGAAATGACTGGATGTGGCACTTGGTGCTATGGTTTAGTTGACAAAATGTTGTTCAGTCAAAGGTTGGACATGATGGTTTCAGAGGTGTTTTCCAACCTCAGTGATTCTATGATCCTCTGATTTCTCAAGAGAATCCTGTGGATGGAACTCATAGGATCTGTCTTTAAAATTCCATTTACATGTAATTATACCTACTATGTTAAAAAAAATAATAAAAACTGAGAACATGGTATACTACTACTCCTATTTCAACTGAAAGAAATAACTTTAGATACCTTATGTCTTTTGCAATAAGGATTTTTCCTGACATTTTTACTTTCTCTAATTAAAAGCTGAAGGATTTTGGTTTATTAAACTTTGGCAAAAATGTTCAATATTTGCAATGTGTGGAATAGATTTTCATAATTTTGAAAGGAGCTTAGATAGAGCATGTAGGGTTTTCACTAGGAGCATTGCCAGCAAGTCAAGTGAGGAGATCCCTCTCCTCTAGTCAGCCTGCAGTTAGAGTGCTGGGTCCAGTTTGGGGTTCTCCTGTACAAAAGAGACATACAAGAGCCAGTCCAGCAAAGGACAACAAATTTTTTGAGGGACTGGAGCATCTCACCTGTGAGGAAGATCTGAGAAAGCTGGGATTGTTTAGTGTGGAGAAAACAAGGCTTTGGGAGATCTCATCAATGTGCACAAATATCTAAAGGGAAGGTGTAAAGAAGAGGGAGCCAGGCTCTTTGCAGTGCTGCCCAGTGACAAGCAGTGGGCACAAAGACAGGAGGTTCCATCTGAACACAGGAAATGCTTTTTCACTCTGAGGGCTACAAAACTAGAGGTGATTGTATTAGGAAAAAACCTGAAAGAACAAGTGAAACACCAAATAGTAGGGGGCAGAGGATTGACAAGTATCTGGGTATTAAACAAGAGCAATAAATAGATAGGGTGAGAAGACAACATCAAGGAAGAAGGGAAGAGAAAGTTGAGTATTATGAGAAAAGGAACAGCAGGCTGCTAGCACCCTCAGGAAGCAAAAGTTACTTGGTGGTAATGAGCAGAGGAAAGACTCTGGGAAGCCCAATGAAGGGAAGTGTCACACTGGCTTGCCGATGAAAGAAAAGGAAAGGGTGAGGCAGGCAGGACAGAGGATCTCAAACTGCTCCTGGTCATTTTTATAAGATCAAAGAATGACTGTGTTCTGGGAGGACCAGAAAGCCTTTGATGTAATGGTAGTTCTGGCAAGACACTACAGAATCAAAGCAAGAGGAAAACAAAGTGTTAACCCTTTGATTCAGTATTTCCTCTACATTCATAGAAGCAAAGTATGAAAATCATGAAATAATTTCAAGAGCTAACAGGAAGACTTACTTATTGATAGAAGGCACACAGAGAGACACAGAGAGGGAGAACAAGCACATAAAAATGGATGGTGGCAGGCAGTCACATAATCCCTCTACAAAATGCATTTGGTATTGTTATCCTTCCAATTCTTCTTTTAAATTGGATGATAAACCAGAAAACTGATGCAAATTTGAGCCTGCTACAACAAGAGAATAATCTAATAGCTTTTACGTTGCTGAGTGGATGCAGAGAGAAATTTGTTTTACTGGTATGCAAAACCTTACTTTCTTGAACATAAAAATACACCATAACAAAATGCATAAATGTTCATACTGAACAGAAAATTCATATTAAATAACAATTTTGCTGAATACTTACAGCATTACTGGAGTTAACCTAGATTTATGAACATTGTAAAAAACAGTTGAATTGTGTCCAGAAAAGCCCGATCCAAGTATTCTAAGAGTGATAAACTCACTTCTGGATTCTCTACTGAAAGCAACAAGCTGTTTTATTGATCAAAGGAATGCATATGTTCACTGGAATAACTTCAGGATGTGGTTGATTTAAAATTAAATTTTGCAGTCTTCTATGTTAGACTAGTACTAGTAAGGCAGAGGAACATGACTTGCAGCTTATGCTCACAAAGAACAATATGTAGTTTATAGAAACCCACTAAAATCTCAAGCACAACATAGTAGCAGTAGGCACCTACAAAATGTATCCTGACTTCTTTACGAGAAAAAAATACACTTTCCATTGCAGCCTCATCTGAGGCAGATTTTTTTCCCCTAAAAATCATACACCTTTCTCAATAAATAATTCAGAGCCAAATCTTGTATGTAACAACTAAGAATAGCTACAGAATAACTCAAGAATAAAGTAACTCATTTTATTTAAGGATAAATCATATTAATTCTCTCAAAATGTCAGACTAAATAATTGGTCACTAAAGTAATAAGGCTATTTACTTGTTACTAGCTATGAAATAATTAAATTCACTTTAATTAACAGTATTAAACCAAATAAATAAGCCAAAAAAAACATATAATCTCTAGATACTCAAAACCTCAGTTTTGCCTATACTCCTCTGGCACTTCTCAAGAGTTGAAGGATTATTCCAGAAAACATTTAGGTTCTTCAGCTCCCTTTATATCCACAAGAGAGTCTAAGAAACCTTGTTCTTCCTTACCTTCCAGCTTCTGCTCCTGTCCTGCAAAACTTGTTGGAGCAAGAAGTGGTGTACCTATCTATTGAATCATATGGCAGAATCAATCTGATTGGAAAAAAGAGACAAAATATCCAAAAGCTTCTCCTAAAAGGGTACTATCTGTTCTCAGGCTCCTTAAGGGGGTGATCATTTACTTTTTTAGTTGCAGTGTTGATATGGGCAGATAAACTGATTCTATCCTGCACCTCCTAGACCAAACAAGTAAGCACATAGAGTACTCACTGAAAGAATTAGATCTATCACATGGACCTCAAACACTAGAAGTGTTAAAAAAAATAACATTTTTTATATTGATAAAATCTACAACATTTCTCTTCCCATGGAGGGGATGAGGACTAAACTCTGTACTAAAGTACAGAAAAATGACAACATTGAAATACACTGTATTCCATATAATTATATTCCATATAATGAGTACACAAGTACTACACAGAGAGCTGCAGTGTAAAATTATCACATCTTCTCTTAAAAGTAAAATGACAGTTAAAAACCCAGAACTGCAACCTTTTTTAAAAAAATTAAATATATATATAAATAATATTTTCACAATTTAGACAAATGTAATTTGGATTGGTTGGGAAAATAATTTAAGGAACTTACCATTTCTAAGGCCATAATACGTTCCTAAAAGCAAAATACAAGATGCCATTAGAAAGCTAAGAATAAAAACACAGTGTAAGTCAAAGAATGATGGATAAGATTAATTTTGGGATTTTGGTGGTCTCACATGTACAGCTTTTTGTAAAAAACTCACTGAGTAGGAACTGTTGTACTTAATTAGATGTCTTTATCATACTTTATATCATATATATACACTATATATATATATCATACTTTATCATATATATCCCACATAGAAATTTGCCCCAAAAATAAGAAATCACCCAGAAACAAGGTGAGAAAGGTTTTGAAAGAAATTACTCCACAGTATATTTTTTCCAATTAGTGCATTAGGTTTTCAATATTGCTGATTTTACTCTTACATATCCCAAACAATTATTTCTTTTTTTGATAATCTCTGACAGTAAATCTAGCATGCTTTGGAATTCATGTCATCTTAGCATCAGGCTTAGTTTTCTCTTACGCATTTCCTTAGAAAAATAAAAAGTAATTTCTATATCATTATTCTTTCATCCAGAAATAGCTCTGAATAATGTTTTATTAATAACAGGATGACATTAGTCAATTAGTCAAACAAATAAAACAAACTTGTATCAGTTTTAATCCAGCACAAAATACAGAGAATACAGAAAATACAGAGGTAATTAGAATTACCTGATTTACTCTATATATTTTAACATTCTTTTCCCGTTTCAAAGTATTTTAAAGAAAAATATGAAGTTAGTAAAATCAAGATAGTGTACTCTGGTACTATATCCTGACTAGGTATGGTATTTTAAATAGTTTGACAAAACATATATTCAACTGTTTAGGTGAGTCCACATTTAGAGTATGTGACCATTAAGACATTACAAGAACTCTTATCTTACAAAAATATTACTCAATTTTTTTCTCAGGCAAGGAAGTGTATCACATGCTAAAGTCTTTATTCTTCCCTAGAAGCAGGTCTGAGATACAGACTATTTCTGTACATCAGAAAAAACTTATGATAAAAAAATATATTGAAAACTCGGAAATTTTTATTCTGAGATGTCTGTTCCTCCACAAAACTGAAGTGGCAAACACTCATACTTATTTAAAGATTCTGCAACAAAACACATACTCATTACCATAAAAAAGATGGTATTTACAGATCTCATAAATTTCTGATTATAATGAACAACAATTCAGATGTAAATCTTTCCAGTTAAAGAGGACTGCTTTGAAAAAAAAGGTCCTAGAGTGAGTGAGGAGGATTCCAATGATAGAATAAAGATTGTTTTCAAATTGACTCATGCGTTAAATAAAGTGCATTATATAGTTGCCAAATTCTAAATATAATAAACTCTTAAAATCTCACAGCAGAAAATTTTCTGAAAACTAGCATCTAATGTATTAGGAAATTTACCAAGGATAATTTATACACTACTTGACTGTGAAAGCAAGGATATGTGAAGGGAGAAAAAAACTGCTATCAAGCATTTGAATGTAAGAACAACAGCCAGAGCGCTACAATTCACACACTTAACCAGAACTGCCAGTTAGGGAAAGGAATAAAGCAATTTAATCAGGAACATGACAGTCAGGCAGGCACATATTGCCATGCAAGACACTACTATGATGAAACTTCCTGCAGTCTAAAATTACTCCTCATTCAATCAGAAGTAATATCATTAGAACAATTTGTCAACCATGAAGCTTCACATGAAAGCAGATGCAGAATTGCTTCACATGAAAGGAGATCTTTTTACATTGATGTAACTAGATATGCACCTGTGTAAACTGCTTGCGCAGACAAGCTCTCAGCCTTGTTGAACTTGAGCTGCCAGAAAGCCAGGCCAAGATTTTTGTTTGAACAGGAAACAGCTGGATTGGTGTGTTGTGTAACTTTTGGGTCTTGTAACTTGTCTCTTCTAACTGGATCAGACTGTTTGTACACTAACTTCTTTGATACCTCTAGCCCTCAAAATGCCTTCTATTTATTATATGAGAAGTCTTAAACTCCTATGGTCAAAACTCAGGTCAATACATAGTGTCGTTTCCCTTATGAGCCTTATCTTCATAATTCCCTCACAAAAGTCCTGCTTTCAGTACACTTACAAAATGCTAACTCATTGATACTCTTTGTATTGTACGTAAACTTTTCTTACATTCGTATTGGATATTGTTTGCAGCAATTTGTTGATAAGAATTTCTTTTTTTGTCTCTGCATTCTGAAGAATACACACATTACCCTCCCTCGTAGCCTCCTGAGCCTCACAATTCAGACATTCCAGCCTGTTTTGCTTTCTTAGCCATTTCAATTTGAAAGGAGTATGTTTTCTTTGACTGTAATGCTTAAATACTATTCCAAAGCTGATCTTAGGGTAAATCTGACTTTTTAAGTGAAAATTTCAAGTGCTTAGCACAAACTGTTTTACTGCTAGATGACATACAATAAGGATTTATAATATTTTATCAGGTCCTAGCAAATATTGACTGGCCTGTTCTTCCTCAGAAAGGTGACTATGAACATTTAGTGCTTCAGAGGCTTCAAATACTTAGAATACTTTAATTTCATTTTTATTCCATTTTACAAAAGAAAGTAATACAGCCCAGAGAATTTAACCCAACTAGTGAAAAAATTCACCAGTGAGTATTACTGGCTATTGGGTCTACATTTGTCTGCACATATTTCCAAATCTGAATTTAAGCTATAAGGCTGTCCGGAAAATCATGCTGTAATACAATATGGTAGTTTCAAGAAATTGAATAAAAATGCAGCTAGGTAATTGAGCAGGTAATATACCTGGAGAGCTCCCATTTCTTCCTCTCTTCTGTGTGTCTTCTCTAGTAGCTCTGCAAAATGAAAAACAGAACTTGTAAATTCAACTTCCTGTCCCATGGCCTGATAGAAAAAGTACTGTGTAAAACAGTCATTGAGTTTTTTATTTTACAGATTTCACAACACCCCTTTTCATCTGATTAAATGTGTCAGTGATATGATTGTTTTCAAGCATGGGCTGTTGAGGTGACTAAAAAACAGCCTCAAGAACATAGAAAGACAGTTTGACTGGGTGGGGGGAAAGCTTTAAGATTCACAGATAAACTTTTCTATACTGAAATAAATGGGGTATATTTTTACAATTGAATGAAAAAAATCAAAGAGATTCTCTCTAAAAATTGACTAAAACTGACTATCACAGCTATGCAATTATATATGTAAAGTTACTATAGAATACTGCAAACTATTTTGACTGAAAAAAATTTCCTCCTCTCACTAAAATAAAACAATTTTGCTAAGGAAAATAATTCACTGTGACAAAATACTAGAAAAGTTTCTTATAGTCTTCACAAGGTAAAATCCTAATATCTCATATTGTCATGTGTGACAATTATAGACATTGGCATATATATGCACATATGTAACATTTCACATTAGAAATTAATTTTGTTGGAATTCTGTGTCTTATGAGTTGTTTTTCCCTTTTATTTCATTCACATAGTTTTATGATTAAACTCATGTTTTTGATAAATTGCAACATATTTCAAATTCTGGGAAACCTTAAAGTTATAACCTCATAAAGAGCAGGAAAAACAAAAAAAAAAAGAAAACATGCTGCAGGCTTATTACTATTTTAACTATCAGAAGTTTAATCATGAGTTTTGCATGAGAAGAGCATTGCTTTATCTAAGCCAGAGACTGACTTTGAATTCAGATATGCTCCAGTTTGCTAGCAATTAGGAGAGTTATGAGATTATGAAACTGCCTTGACAATGTCAGAGGACTGAATTCTGACAGTTCCCCCAGCATCCAAGTACAGAACTGCTAACTGAAAGTACCTGTGTTTACTTCCTTAAGAAGTAAAGTTTACTGATACTTACATAGTCATAAAGATAACCTTCAATTATTTACAATAGTAACTACATAAAATATTCTACTGACATTAATTTGTCATCTTTCCTTTATATCTCCAATACTTTACTTTTCTCCTTCTCTTGTTATGAAACCTCCTGTGAGCACCCCAACCTCTTTCTTCATAACTTAATATTAATTTCTGATTGTATATGGATTGAGGCTTATTTCCAAGCATCAGTCCTTTAAAGGAGATGTAGATAACATGTAAAAAAATTTACTTAATTCTTTCACTGGCTGAGAGATTGACTTGCTATTCTTTCTTCTTAGCTTCTATGCCACTTTTTCCAAATCCTTTCTTAAAATTAGTAAAATTACTGTTTATTCACTTTGGTTTGGTGCATTTATGTTTTTCTGGATTATTCCTTGGTATGCTTTTCAGTCCAGTGATCCAACTGCCACATAAATTACTGTAGCCAAATGCACTGCCATCAACAATAAAACAAGAATTCTGGGTTGAAAAGTAGCTGCCCTGGATGTTTTCTTTGGGTATATTCCAATATTATATGTAAGTTGATAAAGATTTGTATTGCAATACTAGCTTTAAAAAAAATTTAGGAGCAAGGGATAAGTCTATAAGAAAAGGGTGGGAAATGAAAAATTCATCCCCATGTTCCATCTGACCAAAGGCACTCAGTTATTATACTCGACTTTGCTTTATTTTCATTCTAATGTAGTAATTAAGATTCTATTGTATAGACATGATTGTTCTAAGTGAAAAGGTTGCTATTACAAGGTTTCTTTTAAACAGATTTGAAAGCCCTGCATCTCAAATTAGGGTTATCTATAATCCATTTATTTCATTCTACCCCTCCCTAAATCAGTTGTCCTGCAGGATTGCTTCACAAAATTCTGTCACTAGAAGGGTAGGCAGGAGTTGAAGTGGTGCTAACTGAAAAAATATACACCTGCACAGAGTCATCCTTTATGAACATATATTTAAAAATCAAGTTCTGCATTTCAACTGATGATTCCATTTAGTATTCCATGTAAAATAATGGCATCTTTTCTCCAAAGCTGAACTAAAAAAAATTAAAATTTAAGCATCATATATTAAACAGCTATACAAAAAGCCATATATCGCATATTATATCATTCCTCTGGACATCATTTACCATGACAGGATAACTTTGCTTACTTGATCTGAAAAACTCTGTTTATTTAATTTATCATTTGTACACTTCCCATATTTAAGTTCTTGTGCAAACTTAAATGTGTTTTATGTCATGTGCCTGAAAATAATGTTGCAATAAAGTTAAGACAGAGAATGCATTGTGCCTGCAACAGAACAAAGACGATCACTGGCCCCAGTGGAGGCTCTTTTCATCCATCCTATGAACAGCCTCTGAGATTTTCCAATTAATATTTTGTTCATAAATGAAGTTTCACAGTGGCATGGATTGCTACAACAATCCTGCTATCATCTTCTTTCAAGGCCTAATGTAACCACAGGGTACTCAGGGATTTTTCAAAGCAATACATCATTATTCTCATGGGGCACTGAACACATCAATTTATAAATTTACTAGAAGAAACGGCATTATTGGAAAAGGCACCTTTAGGCATTGATGGCTCTTCTCCAAAGATGAATAATACACAGAAAAAGACAACAAAAGAAATGAGATGTAGAAATAAAGATATTTCATCAACATTTTCCCTTTTTATTTCTAGCTAAATATGAAGCTTGCAATTCAATAAGGAACTATAAGCTAAAACTGTTTAAAAATCAGATATATTTCAAATGTTTAAAACTGTTCAAAATCAACAGCAAGCTCAGGATATTGTCTGCAAAATTAAGGATCATACTTTTGTGCAGTTATACAAAAACAATTTATTTACAGTGCTTAAATTCCAGATCATATAAAGATTATATCTCACTAACCTATGCGTCAGTAAACACAGAGTGTCCTTGAAGTTACACTAGAGTGACTAGATTTGACTAATCAGACTTTCAGGAAAAATATAGGTTATGATTTAAAACATTCTGTCAGAATCATTATCTCTTGCAGTTTCCCTGACACTGAACCACCACAGTATGTTGCAAAACATTACAAATACTAAGCCGGAGATGAAGATTATATATTCCATCATACCACACAGACAAGTGAGGAGAAAAGGGTTATTCAAACAGATTTTTCACACACACCCCCCCAGCTGTAATTTTTACCGCTGGTAAGAAGTACCAGCAAATAGATTTAGAAGCAGATACTTATTGATTGAAATTACTAAAATGCAATAGTACTATCTTATTTATCCTAGCTGATCCATTAATATGCCAGTAACTAACTAGAATGCTAAAACTCCTTCATGAATTAAAATGCTCAATTCCTTTATCTCTGCTGGGTGTAACAAAGGTGGGAAACAGGACATTGGCTGTATATTAACTGGAGCATCAATTTCTTGGTTTCAAACACTGCGTGACCTCCTATTTTAGAAACTGAAGATAATGCTAGACAGCATTCCTCTTCACATTCTCAGAGAAGACTGACATGCCAGAGAAAAATCTACAAATTAGACCAACACCACATTTTATGTTTACCTTGTACTAGCCAAGGACAATGCACAAATACAGAGGTGCACACAGAATCAATTCTTATAGCCACAGATATCTACTCATACAGTGAAAAATTCTAAAATGTGATTCAGAGTGCTCTGAAGTTGACATTCACACAATAATTCAGTTTTGCATTCACAGGTAATATGCTGTACACTATCTTAGGTATCTTCAGTCTGCTGGTAGATCTGACTGAATACTTTCACCGCTCTGAAGCAGTTGCAGATCACACAAGACAACTCACATAGTATAAAAAAATACAGCTACTATGTGGCACTAAAGCAAGAAATCCAGGTTATTACCAGAAAAGAATGGCAGTTTGGAAAAAATTGTCAGCATAATTTTTGCATCATCAAGCTAAGAAAAGCTCTTTGCCAAAATACAAGTCAGGGCTTTCAGTTATATATTAGTAAAACTATTTTATATTTCCCAAAGTTTGTAACCCTAGAAACTGAGGTTCTAAGTTATATAAGAGTATACCAAACTCTTGAGTAATCACTTAATTAGACACCCTGATCATATTACCTTTAAATTTGCTTTGATCAAAAATTGTAAGGCTTTTTTATTTCAAGTATTTCCCATCATTCTCACTTCAAATATGCTTCCTACAGCTTTCAGTCATCATTTGGGTATGTTTCCCACAAAACTGCTGAGCAGATATTTCACCGTTCCTGTAGATGTAAAAGGCAGGCAAGCAGGTTTCCATCAAGTATGAAGGAATTTTCAATCAGCTGAATAAATCAGTTTCTCTCGGCTAGAAATTACTTATCTTGCCCACATCTACACAACCAAGTTGTAAGACTTAAGACTGTCCTGTTGTTCTGTCAATGACTCCCTGGAGAAAGAGACCAACCCCCACCTGACTCCAAACACCTTTCAGGGATTTGTAGAGTGATAAGGTCACCTCTGAGTCTCCTTTTCTCCAGGCTAAACAACCCCAGCTCCCTCAGCTGTTCCTCACAGGGCTTGTGTTCCAAGCCCCTCACCAGTCTCGCTGCCCTTCTCTGGACGTGCTCAAGTGTCTCAACATCCTTCCTGCATGAGCAGACAGGGGGGAATAAAAAATTGTAATTTTATTTACTCTAATGGCAGCTTCCAGAAATAAGCATCTGAGAGAACACCTAAGCACCTGAGAAACAGGACTAGATCTGGACCATCCATGACCTAGCTGGCCTCCAGAAATTTGACTATTTTTTAAAAAAGTTTTAAAAAATATTTTAATGGCAAAAAGCAGTGCACAAATAACATCAGTCTATTACAGGATGTGTCTCGCAAACAGGGAAAGAGACAAGGCAGAGGTGTTTAATGTTTTCTCTACCTCACCTTCAATGCCAATGATGAGCTGGGGTCCCAGTACTCTCAGCAGGTGAACCATGGCTGTGAGACCAATAAAACTCCCAGCCAATCCTGAACTTATGTCAGATTTGCTGCTCCTGGATCTCTTGAAGTCTATGGGGCCTGATGGGATTCTTTCAAGAATAAAGAGCTGGCTCATGTCTTTGAGAGGCCTCTCTCAATGGTTTTTGAGCAGTCTTGGGAATTTGGAGATGTCTCAGTTGACTGGAAGTTGGTGAACATTATCCCTGTTTTCTACAAGGGCAACAGGATGACCACAGCACCCATGGAAAGGGACCTGGGGGCCCAGGTTGATGGAAAGCTGAAAATGAGCCAGCAGTGCTCTGGCAGCCAGGAGGGCCAACACTGTCCTGGGGTGCATCAGGCACAGCATGGCCAGCTGGGAAAGGGAGGGGATTGGAACTGCACATTGGAACCCTGCACTGGGGCAGCCTCACCCTGAATACTGTGTGCAGTCTTGGGCACCACAATATAAAAAAGACAGGAGGGCTACAAAGATCATGAAGTGCCTTGAGGGGACACCACATGAGGAGTGGCTGAGGTCACTTGGTCTGGTCAGGCTGGAGGAGATTGAGGGGACACCCCACAGCTTCCTCATGAGGGGAAGAGGAGGGGCAGGAACTGATCTCTTCTCTCTGGTGACCAGTGACAGGACAGGAGGGAATGGCCTGAAGCTGTGTCAGAGGATTTGAGGCTGAATATTAGGAAAAGGTTCTTCACCCAGAGGGTGGTTGGGCAGTGGAACAGGCTCCCCAGGGAAGAAGTAACAGCACCAAGCCTGACAGAGTTCAAGGAGTATTTAGACAATGCTCTCAGGCACATGGTGTGATTCTTGGGGCCCTTCTGTGAAGGGTCAGGAGTTTTACCCACTGATCCTTGTGTGTCCCTTCCAACTCAGCATATTCTATGATTCATTGAACCTATTTATTGTTCCAGATACCAGAACATGTTGGGACAGTGAGTTTCTATAACTGAAGCATGTACTGGGTAAAACAAAAAGTATCCTTTTGTTTCTAACATGATGTCTGGACGGTCAATGACTTTTATGTATGCATAATTATTGCTTCTAATTTGCTTCCTTCAATAAGCCTTCCTTGTGTTTCATCCTGATATTTGTCTTTAATTCTCTTTCATTATGATTGGTATATGATGTAGATCATTCACTTATGAATATCTCCCATTTAGAAAACCTCTTCCAAATTTTCACTTGCCCCAAGAAACAGTCCAAAATTCTTCTCATCCATTTTATAACCTCTCTGTACCTGTCATTACCTGAACTATTACAGTGTCTACCTTACAGTGAATTCAAAAGTTCAAGAGTGGATACATACATATATTCAAATTCACAGCTAAAGTACACAAGATACTTGGCCAAGTTGTTGTAACCTCTTCTACAGTCCAATATGATTGCATTGGAGTAGTTTGTCTGAATATGAGACTAAATATATTAAAAAAACTAAACTATAAGATTACCCATCAAAGAATTATAGTTCACAATGTGCTGCTTTTTAAGAGGCCTTTGTCAAAAGAATGAGAATATTTTTTTTCCCCAAGCTTACATGAGAGCTTTTAGTTCTATTCCTGGCTCTGCTCTATTCCTGGGAAATTTTCTGTGCTTCATTTCAACATGGCTAAAGAAAATATTTCTCTATCTTCTGACGTGAAGCTCAAACAAAGTGCACTGAAATCCACGCAAAATGTTCCTATGAACTTCCTTATGAATACAAAAGGTGACGACAGCCCAAAACTTCACTTATGCAACTGCCTAAGGTATGAGCTGGGAGAGAGAGATTATGTCCATTATACTTGTTTAGGACCATATTGATTCCCAATTGAAACTACGTAGGAGGACAATGATGGAGGGTTGTGAATATAGATGCAGTTAACACATCTTGAAGTACAGCTATAAGCATTCTGTTGTTTTCTTTGAATGACACTTATGTACCAGCAGACATGCTGTAGAGGATTCCAAAAGCTCCTGCGGGACCTTAGGATTTCTAGTTAAAAAAAAAATAAAATCACTAAAGAACAACTTCCCAAAACAAGCATCGCTCCTAGATGCTTTAGTAAGTTCCAGTAAGTTTCATTAAGAAACAGTTAGTGAAACAGACAAATAAGAAGGCTAACTTTGAAGTGGTAAAATAAAAACATCTCATTCTAATTCAAAGATGGTTTCATTATGAAAATGTGATCAAGGCACAGGTCTTCTAGCTCTGTGGGGTTGAGCTTACAAAGGTGTCTATATTTATTTATCATCAAGTTATATACTTCTATGTATTTATTGTCAATAAATATATATATATATATTAGGGTGTTATGCTTACAATTTTTTTACTGATGGAGCATGCAATCAATAAAGTTTGGAGACTAGTGCTCAGTATTTAGAACCTTGGAACAATCTCACTTCTGAAGTAAGCAAACTATGGTTGGCAGTTAGCATTGAGAATTTGATTTTTTTCAATAAAGGCTTTTAGTTTTTGTAAAGCTGAAATGTTTTCTAGTCTCTTACTCTGAAATTCCTTCTCCTTTATACATCAAGCAGCATACATCATAACAAACGGAATTGAGAGGAAAAACACCAAAGTTTAAGTAAGAACAAGGTCTAACAAGAAGAGTGTCTATGGGAAGAGAAACTGTGTGGGAAGAATGAGGAAGAGGAGACTAGAACTATTTACAGTAAAAGGACAGAACAAGAATGTGTGGCTTATTATTCAAGTAGACGCTCTCTTATAAGCAGCAGATTCTATCTGGAGACCTTACTTTAGCTTTTGAGCTTACTGTAGCTTTTGAGCTTTTGATCAGTTTCAACTAATTTTGAAGTGCCAAACACATATTTGTACATAGAAGAGGAACAGTCTGTATATTAATACAAATATTTACTAAGGTTTTTTTATCTAGAATTCTGAGTGCCATCTCTAAACAGCTGCCACTATCACGAATTCAGAGGTGGTAATCCAGGTATTGTTTGTTCTCTGAAGCAGTGTCCAAATAAGCAAGATAAATTATAGCCAGAATAGAATTAAGGGTCTCTTCTAGAATCTAGAGAGATGCTACATCAGAATTAACACAGCTGGGATAGCAATAAAGCTATTAATTCACAGTGAGTCACAACTGCAGAGCTATAGAAAAACTTCTGTTTGCATTATTTGCTCAACCGTTCTCTACAGAGATGTAATAGCGTGTAAAAAGCATATAAAGTCACACCACTGGAATTTCAGTTTTAGGCAGACTCATTAATCAATTCATCTCAGTCTTAAGCAGCCACTTTTCATTGCCAGGAATACTAAATCTTTTCTATGAGTGTCCTTGCACTACGCACTTCAATCTGCTTCACTGCTGTAGGATGATACCACTATAGCTTTTCTTATCAAAGCCTTTACTAAGCCATGGTTCTACTGACAGAAGAAAAACCATTACAGGCTAGAATTTTCTTTATGCCTCTATTTAACAATTTATTTTAAAATTTCTTTAAATTCATATATTTCACACTAAATTAATAATTTAGACAGAAATAAGAACTTTGTCTGAAAACAAGAACTACAGATATCAAGAATGGTACAACAAAAAAAAAAAACAAAACCAAAAAACCCAAACATTAACAAAATAATGGAAAATCGATCCAGTAAAGCAAAACAGTTTATATGAAAGGCATGGCTTCCACCATGAAAATTAAAATGGGACACACAGAGTACCAAAAATAGAGTTGACAATTTTTTCCCCATTATTTTTAATAAATGCCTTGGATAGCTAGTTTGAAAATGGTTTGGGAGTTTCAGAATGTTGACATTTTCTGATTACGATCTAGTTATAAAAACTACATCCACAAATCTGCTGCAACCAGAAGGTTGCTGTGAAAATTAAAAACAAGTCATACAGGTGTTGGTTGAATCTGTGCTCAAATTAGTGATTTAAATTATATTAAAATAACACTAATAATTGCAAGTTACTCTCATAACATCCTTTGTGTCAATATCATCGGGTTTTTTCCATTTAGCATGCTTAAGGATAAAAGGAAAAAGATAAGAAGGTAGCAGGAAAAAACAGTATTACTGTCTATGCCCTCCTCTAACATGAGCTAAGGAACGTTATCCTGCAAATACACTTTAAACACAAAATCCAAACCTCAAAAAATAACAGTGAAATCCCTCCAGTCATTATAGATTCTGGATTATGCCTTTTATTTGCAGGCAAAAAGAGCAAAAATTTTTGATGTGCAAAACAAGCTTTCCTCATGGTAAAATTTTTAGTACCATTAAATGTAGTAATATTAATTTAACTTCGATAACCGAGAAAGTAAGTTCAAATTTATCCTGCTTATTACAAAAGATACATATGCCAAAGAGAATTTGTTAACACATACACATGGTATTTGAACAGTTAAACACTAGATTTGGAGTATGCTGCTATGCTTTGCTTTTGGCTACTATTTACTGAAACATCTATCAAAAGACTCCAGCTCTTCTTTCAGACTACCATTAGGGTGGCATGGCTTGACTACAATAACAGAGGTCTCTTCTCAGTTATAACTATGCAGAATATCTTATGAAGAAAAAAATAAGATTTAAGACCCTAAAAATAAAGATAATTGAGGAAATAATTGAGATTTACTGAATTTAGAACTTATTCTGACACTAGAAACTCAAACAAAACTCAAGTCATAATGACATTCTGAATTTCTGCCACTAGGCATTGTGTGATGATTATTAATGTTTCTAAGGCCTTAAATGACAATTACTTGATTCTACTTCTAGCTGAAACTGTTTTCATTTTTATATATGTATTGATTACTCATGCAACAGTTACACAGCCAGCCAGGCAATAATGTTCCTACCATAAATAAATCTCAAGAACAAACTTAAAAAAAAATAAATCTAATATACAATGGTTATGAATAAACACTTCAGATTTTACTTCACAAATTTTGCTGAGAAGCCATCAATTTTCAACCCTAACAATCTAATAGCACATTTATAGTACAATGGAATTCTTTATTAATAGCTTCAAATAATCTAGTTTGGGTGCTAATGACTATGTAATTACTCCTTCTTCATACTTCCTTCCTCCTTCCTTACTGACTTCCCAGAAGTCAGTCCAACCAAGCTGACATGATGCTAGCACCAAGTGCTCCAGTTCCACCAGATGTGTTCAGGTCACATCACAGATGGCATTTGCAGCTGCATTTGCCAAAATGCAAAGGTCTCTTTGCTCCCTGCCTCTGATTGTGCACTGCTCTTGCTTACTTTGTCCTGCCTTGGCAAAATAACAAACCTGGACCTCCAAAAGGTCTTAGTTCATTACAACGGGCAAAAACCAGACAGCTCCATGTGGCTCATATTGAGTAATATACGATTTTAGAGAGGTTCAACGAGGAGGAGACATGGAAAAAGGGATGGAGAAAGTAGCACTGATGGGAGAGAAAGAAACAGAAATAAGAATTCTGCCTTTTGTCTGCAGTAATATTAAATGTCTCCATGAATGGGAAACTTCAGTTTGACCCACTAACTCATTATCTTGCATTTGTGTGTTGAGCTATCATCACACCTGCCTGTAGCACAGATCCATGCAAGGAAACTGAACAGTGGCTTTTTCTCCCATAGTTTTGATTAGAAAACCTATTAAAATAACCTTAAAAGAAAAAAAAAATCAGCATTATGTAAGAAAATATAGTAAGAAATGTCTCAAAGCAAGGTCCTCATAATAGTCAACACTTTAAAGAGAAAATACAGTTCAACAGTTTTATCATTGCATGTAATATATAATTGTTACGATTCTCTCCTGAATGAGAAACATTTTCTTCCTGACAATGAACAAAATTTTTCAGGAACACACAGAAAGAAATTGAAACTTAATTTGTTTTCCTTTACCAACTGCAAGCTAGAAAGATAATTTGTCGTTTCTTGTTTTAGAAAATTATGTGGATATATTTATGGGCATGGTAGCTATATAAAGATTATGGTATGGCATATGTAAATGCCAAAATAGAAAACTGAATGCTATTTTCTTCAGCGAGCTCTCTCAATATCCTAGGATTTTCTTTTTTTGATGTTTATAATCCCAACCATATTTATGCATATCAGAAAACTTCCTTCTGGCTTCTTCTGAAAGGCAGCTGCAGATCTTAATGCAAATATACACAGAACTAATATTGGACCTATCAGCTAAGGAATGGTCAACAGTTACGGGTATCCAGCTTTTTGTAGCTCATTTGAACTGAAGTAACTGGGCAAACCAAAGGAGGCCAACAGCTGCAAGACATTAAGGTTTTCTAGTAAAGGTCTCTTTTTACTTGAGACAAGTAATTCTCTCAAGCCTGAAAGTACATTTCTTAATTGGGCTGTTTGAAGATTAGAAGTAAACAATCCATTTGCAATGTCCACAGGACAGAAGAATAGATTACATGGGAAGCTCAAAGATACTGATGTCCAAAAATCAAGTTTCCCTACCCATCTCAGAAAAAAGGGATCTTTTAGCAGCTTAGATGTTTTGTCAGAAGACCAAAGCACGCAAAAAAAGTCCCATCTTCATGGGATTCACTCCTTGATAAGTGCTGTAAGAAAGCTTTTAATTCTACTGAATGGCCCTATGTATCACTAGGACCCAAACAGCTTCTAAGGAAACATTATTTTAACCAAACAAACATACATGCACAGGGGTCAGTATGTCTCACTGACACCCAACTTAATGCAACTAGAAATGATATAACACCTTGTCTCTTACACATTACTGGGTCAGCAATGAAGAGGTACCAAGCAAACAGTCAACATGCTTCACTGGAAATGCCCCTGAAGCGTATAACTGCTATGAGACATAGGTTATAATGTGCATTGATCTGCTCATGCCTCTTGAGAACAGAGAAAATAACAGAAAACTCTCTTAATGTACACCCAATGTTGGAAATTCATACTGTTTATGTGTGGTTTTCATATCCTTTCACAATCTTATTAAATGGCTAAATTTCTCTTCCCTTGTGTCTTTATACTATGCATGACAAAATAAAACTACAAAAATTAAAGCTCCTGAGACTGAAAGTAAAGGTTTAAGTCTTAGCTCAAAATATGTTTTGTACTGTGAAAATATGGTTCTAAACTTTCTTCAGAAAACAAAATAACCAAAATGAAAACTTGAATTTGCTTTTCAGAAACTTTTTTTTTTAACCCTTACTCAGAAGTTCATATGCTTTTCTGTGGCTTCTATAATTTTACTCCTTTGTCTAGTATCATTTTCCTTTGCTGCAACACCATTTGTTGCCGGCATATTTATTTCCAAAGGCCTTTTAATTGACATAAGGATTGGAATTTTTTTTTGTATAACAATCTGCAGTATTAATAATGACAATAAATTACAAATCACAGACAACCTTAAGTTTCAAAGTAATATTTAAAATTAATCATGCTGGGTTTCTCTACTCTCTCAAGCTTTCTGACAGTACCTAAGGCAGTGCAAACAAAATCTCCAGAGCAATTAAAAAAAACAGTGATCTCTTATAGGTCACAGATTAAAAGCACTGCTCAGGAAAAAGAATAACGTCAGACTGGAACCAGAGTACACATGCAACTGGCACACTGTATACTTCAGGGTGCACCTCATACGAGAACAGAATATATGCAACAAATTTTAAGGTTCAAGACACCTGATACTACTTTTTCTTGACCTGGCACCATCAAATATTATTCATATTGGTGAGACAGATGGAGAAAGAAACTACCCAGCATCTGATGACCACACATGTTTACAGAACTTATATAGCTCTGTAAAACACACAGCTGGCCTCTATTCCAGTGAATTCACACTATGACTACTGACATTTCTTCCTAACCTGATGCAGCATGGTTCCTGGATCTGTCCAACACTGTTGTACTACTATTCAAGTAAGTTATAGATTATTACAAGTTAGTAATTCATCATCAACAAAATTCTCGGTGAATAAAAATAAATTAATTACAAAAACCTTATGAGTAGCAACAAATAGAACACTCAAATTCAATTACACTATTATTGTACATTACCACTTCAGGAAACATGAAATGCTGATTTTGTTAACTAAAAGCATTTTATGCTACTATTCCTATAGCAACAACAGATTAATGTATGCAAAATGCATAATCATGGAGCTGAATGGCCTGCATAATCATACCACTGATTCTGAATTAAAGTAAGGATGGAAATTTTTGTAATTTAATAGTAATAACACTGTCTTTATTATAAATAATTCTTTGGAAGTCAAAATTTCTTCCAGATAACAAGCAAAATCTGTTGCTTACAGCGAGACTACAAAATGCTTATTTTAATCAAGTTATTTTAGAAGTCACACACTGAAGTGTTTTAAGATCAGA